TTTTTTTTTTTTTGCTTTAGGATAAAGTATAATGCATCCAGCTTAAAAGAGTTACCGTGCCAAATATCTAATCCTGTTCCAGTGAAAGAGGGCGCTGGTGTTGGATGCTTGAAGGATGTTGATTCGATGGCAATGCCTGAAGTTTCAATGCTATATGAATTGGTTCAGGCAGGACTCACTTCCATACATGCTTTTGTTGGGGTGGTAGTTCGTCTGAGGAAGGAATCGTCACTTGTGAAAGCTATACCTATCCTTATTACAAAAATTGATCAAGTGAGGTAGCAATTTTTGTTTGCCGTGCTTGTATATTTTGTTATCTTTTTGTGAGGTAGCATTACTCTTGTTCTAGAGGTCTTTGATTACATATTTGACATGGTGGGACCTGTGTTAGTTAATGTTTTGTTGCTACTCCACAGTCCAATAACTAGTTTACCTTCAGTGATATGAGAAGCCAGTCACTGCTCGTTCTTGCTGGCCTATTCATGCTAGAGAACTTGCAACGGTTAGCTGAATTCTTGGTTTATTCCAGTAGTACTGTACGCGAGATGTTTTTATGACTTTGGATTCTTTATTCTCTGGAATTTTGGTCTTACATCTAGACATTTCATTGTTACATGTCTATGTTTGTGCAGAAAATATTGAATGTAACGGTGAGACCACGTCACCATTGTCACGTGGTGTCAACAACCCATAATAAACCAACATATAAGCAAATAGACCCCGTTTAATTTAGTAACCACCATGTCCATGTAGGAAATAACCACCATGTGTAAAGAAGTCGGGTTCACTTTGTCCACATGTAGGTTTGTTATTGGATGGTGACACCATGACGATGGTGATGTGGTGTCACCATTACACCCAAAATTTACTCGTGTGGGTGGGTAGGACCCTAGGTGGTTGGTATTCTCAACTATTGAAATTTTTTGTTGGACAGTTCAAGCTGAAGAGCAGAGCAGACATCGGCTTTTGATTGCTGGGGCATATTAGAATAACTCGGTAGGTTTTGGAGACCCACCTTTTGCACCCGTTATCCATGTAGCATGTCTCCTGTTCGAACTTGTCTGAAGAATGAATTGAAAAAAAAACTCAAAGCATTTTTGTCTTACTGTATGACTTGGTCACGAAAGGGGAAATAGTTTGACTTTGATTTGTTTTGATTCAGCGATGTCTGACAATTATAATACTTTCTGTTCCCCTCAATATTGTCTTTGATATCTTAGTAGCGAATGTTACTACGTACAGCACTTCCAGCTGCAGGTTTGTTTCTTGCGGGCCTTTGATTTTTTCTAATCACTTGGTGTAGTAGTTCTGTGCGTCTTACTCTGTCTCGGTCATATGTATTCGTATACAATCATGGGAGCTTGGATAAAATCAAGTTTGGTTGCCTACATATAACTTGTATACTTTTTATCTTGGGCTTATTCTGGCTCAAAACAGATCCAACATACAAAATTTGTATCTCTAATTAGGCAAGGGCCTCGTGACCAAGTTCCCCTCAATCAAATTTGTAACCTTTTACTGTGTTTCTGAAACAGTCCCTAAAGCTTATTGAGAGAGACAGAAGAACTAGATTGGATCAGTAAACTCTCCCTTGGATACACTTCATGCTATAGCTTATTTGCTTCACCAATGTGCTTGGGTGAGTGACAATATGGTATGAGCAAAGCGTGAGTTGCTCGAGTGATCAATCTCTCTGGTTAAATATTTATAGACGTAGCCATCTCGCAAATGTCAATGCTTCGACTGTGGTGATATTATTGCTTGGAGAAACAAGACTCTAACTAACTCTTGTTCAATTTCTTTCCTCTCTTTAATGCACTTATTTTGTTTCACTTTTTCTCTTTCGCACTTGTCTAAGAGTTCTTGGGCAAGCTTATTGGAACTGTGATATCTAGCATTACATGATAGTCACTTGTATTGTTGTATATGTCATAAGCAGGTGAATGCATTTAAGTCTATGATACATAATGACATGATGGTGCATGCTCTCTCTCATTCAACTGCAGTACCTAAAGACTTACCTGACCTGATGTTCCCATGGACGCTCGCATGAATTTTCCTTGCTTCAAATATTTGGATGAAGCTGCCCCTGTTTGCCATTATTACCTCAGGTATGCTTCGAAAGTACTTGATTAGTTGGTGTTTGGTAGTCAAACAATTGCTCATGGTGGCTGAAAGTATCTCCCTGTTATTGACTTAATACTCCTGCAATCGTTCTTGAAATCATTTAGTTAGTAGTGAGATAATTTAGCCCCATTTGTAAAGCTTTGGGTTTTAAATTAGCAAGAAATGCATGTTGGATTTCATGGGCCGGGCCGCAAATGTTGGGAGTAAACTCTTGATGTATAGTTTTCTAGAAAACTTATCCCAAATAATAATTTAATACGAACATGACTCGACACAAAATTCGAAAATAATATGATTAATTGACACGAGTAGTAATTGGGTCAAATTAAGGTTTGACACGAGTAACACAATTAATGGATNATACTCCTGCAATCGTTCTTGAAATCATTTAGTTAGTAGTGAGATAATTTAGCCCCATTTGTAAAGCTTTGGGTTTTAAATTAGCAAGAAATGCATGTTGGATTTCATGGGCCGGGCCGCAAATGTTGGGAGTAAACTCTTGATGTATAGTTTTCTAGAAAGCTTATCCCAAATAATAATTTAATACCAACATGACTCGACACAAAATTCAAAAATAATATGATTAATTGACACGAGTAGTAATTGGGTCAAATTAAGGTTTGACACGAGTAACACAATTAATGGATACTATAGATAAAAAATAATTATTCAATGAATATTATTGACAAAAAATAATAATTTTTAATTTTTTAAATAGTATTATATAAGTTGTGAAATTAAATAATTTTTTATTAACACGAACCCGATACTTATCAAAACTGGCACGACTCAACATGAAAATAAAACGATCGATAGTGTCCCGACACGAAAATAACCCCCTACCTGCGATGATTTGCATAACATACTCTGTCGTTGACAAGCAGTAGCAGGAGGCTNAACCCCCTACCTGCGATGATTTGCATAACATACTCTGTCGTTGACAAGCAGTAGCAAAAGTGGAGGCTTTTTTTTCCTCCCAGTAAGCACACAGGTCAGATTTTATACCTTGCTGCCATTAATAAATGATCCATTTTTGGCGAAATTAAATGCCCTATAGTACTTAAAAAATTAACCTCAATAAGTCAGTGAGGCCACCCTCATTACTCTGTCAACCGTTGATTGCGNCCATTAATAAATGATCCATTTTTGGCGAAATTAAATGCCCTATAGTACTTAAAAAAATAACCTCAATAAGTCAGTGAGGCCACCCTCATTACTCTGTCAACCGTTGATTGCGGAATATTGCAATGAAAAATGCAATTTGGATGTAATTTCAATTTCAGGACTTAATCTAGTAACATGAAGAATTACAATTGTTGAATTAAAAGCAACATTAGAAAATCACAACTAATTCAATAATGTTCCTTATTAGGGACCAAAATTTTCTCTAATATATATTTTCTTTTTTTTCTTGACTGATTATCTATCATATACTAGTAGCTAATTACATAATATTCCATCCTATTTATAAAAATAAAACATTGTAACTCAAATTTATTCAAATATAACTTAATCTTTATGTTTCCTATCACATGTCTAATATAACTATTCATTCTAATNCTTTTTTTTCTTGACTGATTATCTATCATATACTAGTAGCTAATTACATAATATTCAATCCTATTTATAAAAATAAAACATTGTAACTCAAATTTATTCAAATATAACTTAATCTTTATGTTTCCTATCACACGTCTAATATAACTATTCATTCTAATTTTTTTTCTTATTTGATTTGGTCACTAATATTTATTAGGACTCTCACATTGATTACCAAAAAAACTCTCTTTTATGACAATTAGAAAGTTTAGTAGGTCAAATTCCAACAAATGCATAGGAAAAATCCGTTATCACTTCAACAGCTCATGGATTTCCATGTATAAGATAATTACTATGCTGTTACAAAGATTGCAACCATTATTTGACTCAGATGAAAGGTTTGAGCTTTACCATGCAAAATAACTCAAGTTAACTCAATGCTANAAAACTCTCTTTTATGACAATTAGAAAGTTTAGTAGGTCAAATTCCAACAAATGCATAGGAAAAAATCCGTTATCACTTCAACAGCTCATGGATTTCAATATAAGATAATTACTATGCTGTTACAAAGATTGCAACCATTATTTGACTCAGATGAAAGGTTTGAGCTTTACCATGCAAAATCACTCAAGTTAAATCAATGCAANACAAAGATTGCAACCATTATTTGACTCAGATGAAAGGTTTGAGCTTTACCATGCAAAATCACTCAAGTTAACTCAATGCAATTTACACATCTGAAGTTGCCTATAGGCATGACCAAAAAAACAGCAAAGATCTTACCCCTGCCCAATCCACATCATACAAGGTCCTGCTACCCTGCCAGTATATGTTTGCCAAACCAGAATATCTGCACTGTGAAGGAAATAGACCAATATCTAAAATCAATTTTTTTTTAAACCTCAATTTTATTTTNGCACTGTGAAGGAAATAGACCAATATCTAAAATCATTTTTTTTTAAACCTCAATTTTATTTTTTCGGTGCTCAAAACCTGCACCAACATGCAGGTCAAATGGTCCCAGTGGCCACTTGTTTACTTCAAGATTTTTATGCTGGTGGCTCCCATTGAATGACACAAGCAGCNAATAGACCAATATCTAAAATCAATTTTTTTTTAAACCTCAATTTTATTTTTTCGGTGCTCAAAACCTGCACCAACATGCAGGTCAAATGGTCCCAGTGGCCACTCGTTTACTTCAAGATTTTTATGCTGGTGGCTCCCATTGAATGACACAAGCAGCTCTCTCTCTCTCTCTCTCTTTATATATATTTTATGGTACACATAGATAAACTCAAGCTCAAGGTTGAGCATAGCCCGTGTGATAATTATGCCAAAGATAGGGTCTTATCCAACCTCATAACACCTTGCATTAGGACGGGCATTGGGTAATATCCTTTTCCACCAGTGAATTTCTTCTCAGGCGGTCTGAAACAACACCTCATCAAATGCTGCTTTTCAGAAGATAAATATTTTCCAATTAGTATGAATCTGCAGAAATTCACCAAGATCTCAGAAAGTGCATGTGTATACCTCAGTTAACACAGGCTAGGCAAATTCTAAAACATAACTAAGGAAGTCGATCAATATATTTGATACATATTAAGATCCATCACCTCGACATGAATCATTAATATGAAAGCAAACTAACAATTTCAAAATGTCAGGCATACGGGGGACAGCCCAAGTTTAGTGTGCTTCACTGGTCATTTTAACACACTAACCAAACTTCATTGACCATAGAAGTGCACAACAATAGGACTTGAGAGAGAGAGAGAGAGCTTACAGCTTGTTTTGCTAATGTACGCCCCAACTCATTCAATTCAGTCATCTTGGCGGCATTTAGCTCAAAGTGCCAAGTTGCAGTCAAATCCCGAACTCAAGTCCAAGTCCCCAGCAATTCCAGTTACAAACAAATATTGTGCCTTCAAATGTTGAGATCAAAATGGAGACTGGCACAAGGGGCAAGTTGACTTGTGAGAAGTGGAGAACCACTTATATAGGCAGGCTGAATGGAACTTGTGCTTGCAGGTCTTGCAAGCAAGCCGGGGAAGGCTATGGTTTGCAGTGTGGATAAAACTATAACAGATTGGGCACTCCTCAACACCTTCAAATTCCTTGTCAAAATTGCTCTTCCATGTACGTATTGCTTCAGCTAGGGCTCCATTCTGTATAACGCAAGTAAAACAAGATTATCAGCACCTACCCTGAGTACTAGATTGTTCAAAATCAACTAGAGCCAAAAAGATTATGAGAATCGGTTAGAGCTCATTCAAAAAGTATACTTCTTGACTAGATCAAGTCCTGCAACATTCCTGGTGAAACCAATGTACTCAAAACAAGGTTTAAAAAGCACTGGAGATCTAACAATGCATAGGAAAGAAACAGGGCTTGACCCTATATGAGAAACAGTGCTTGTTGCATACAGACACATAGGTTGTGGACTTCAACTAGACACACTAATCTAGATATTCTATAATTCACCAATTAGTTTTGGTTTTATGCTTTCCTTCCGACTATGCATCCAAATTCACTTTGCCTTTGCACTAAAACCCACTGTTTTAAAACCAGGCCAGGCCCCACGAGTTGACCTGGTGAACTGGATGCCAAACTGGGCCAGTTATCATATTAGATCGGTTGAGCAAAAGAATCATTTATAACCCACTGAACCAGGCGGTTTTTTACTAAATCGTTCAAACCGGACGGAATTTCACAAACCGGACAGGTCATGTAAAATACTATAAAAACCCAAGTTTTGGGGCCAAAATGCCTTAATTTTCCATTTGTCGAGCTAACTACGAAAGCAGGAGTGAGAGGACTCTGCGACCTTCACTTTACACAGCACTACAGCCAACAGGTACATCTCTCTCTCTCTCTCTCTCTCTCTCTCTCTCTCTCTCTCTCTCTCAGTTGTTGGTTAGGTGGATCAGATGGCCAAAACGGTGGAATATTGGAATTACCATTAGGGCCCCAGCTTTGTCTTCTGTGCAATCTAATGAGCAATTAAAATGTTAGATTACATCTCATATTAACATATTGGAGTTTGATCTATGGGATCTGTTCCACATATGAGAGTATATCTCTCTAAATTTGAGTTGTGCATTCAATTTGAACATGGGTTTTTAATTATTTTCATTTGCATTGGATATATGTTTGATGATTTTTGAATTTTTGTTTGATTTAATATACATTAAACATGTTATTTATATAATTATTGTGATTATCCTATTTATTATCATTAATAATTTTTTTTTATTTTTTTATTATATTACCTTTCCAACCNTGATTATCCTATTTATTATCATTAATAATTTTTTTTTATTTTTTTATTATATTATCTTTCCAATCAGTAACCCACCAGTTAAACCATTGACCCATTGAAATGGTTGAACCATTGACCCAGTGAACTGGTCACTTTCCTAGGTTCATGTCTGGGCTGGGTTTTAAAACTATGCTAAATCTCCATTCTCTTATCATAATTGTTCTCTCATTCTCTAACCCATCTTCCATGCACGCTGAAGCCTTAATGGGTCCACATGAATCACCGTAACCAGGTTACTTCATGAATTATAAAATTTTTGCAGTGCATTGGACCTTTGCATAGCTGAAAAGAGATAAACATGACACACAATACATGCACGACCAACTGATGCCTATAGGAAATACCTGATTGCGAACAAATGACATCATTGACATTAACCATTTCCTCTGCTTCAATTCACTAATGCCTAGGGTCCTTGTACAATCTACCTCCACAGGTCGTAGTGGGTAAGATGCAGGAAGACGAATTACTAAATCCATTCCTGTCTCGTCCTTTGTATAGGTCGCAATAACCTCATTGGCTGCTTTGCTTACACTAACTGAAAAGTTTTCATCAGCAAAACTGGCTTTCTTGATCTGCATTCAGAAAATTCCACAGTAATTCCATGAAGCATTCACAGAAAGAAATAGGGCAGATATGACATCCAATAACGGGCGTCTTTCACAAGATAAATAATGGACAACAAGCCTAAGCTTCTATAACAGTTTGTTAAAGTGTACAGAAGCAATAAGAGGGTGGGTTCAGGGGTCCAAAAAGTTGAGTTACACAAACCTGTGACAGTTCATTTGTGATTAAAGGTGGGCTACACCATGCTTTTGTGAAAGACTCGATCGCAGATGATATTGAACGATCACGTATATCAGTAAACCATCCTCGAACATAAGCAGGGAGAATGCGCAGCATCAGACCATATATTGCACCAGCAAGTGAGGCCATTTTCTCTGGTCCAACAGGCCACAGAGATTCTACATAAAAGAGCACTGAACTGGTTGTGATGGCACATGTTGCCGCAGTTGCAGCTTCTGATACCCCAGGGGGAGGTTCCAATTCTTTCTTCCTTAAGCTGGGAACCATGAACAGTTCCACTGGAATATGCTGGAAAAGGCAATCCAATACTGTTGAATTAGCAGAATCTTGTATGCATTGAATCAATCTCTCACTTGCAGGTGATGACGATGGCAAGGATAGTAGATGTGACAGAAACAAAGCCCAAGCAAGGAACACATTCACCTGAAATGTGTAGTAGTGATCAGTATATGACTTCAATCATCATACCCTATTGAGTAAAAATATTACTACTGATCTAAGCATTAATTACCCGTTCAGGTGCCACCAAATCCATTTCAAGAATCTCATAAGGTAATTTTTCAAGCATCAAATAAATTTCCTCCCTCAGATGAACATTTTCTTCTAAAGAAAAGTCAATACGACAAGAATCCTGGTTACCATCGGTATGCCCATCCACGAAACATGTGCTCTCTCTTACAAATGCCAAGTGTGATACAGGTGCTGTTGACAGAATGACATAAGCAGCAAACTGCAAAGAAGGAACTGGTTTGGAGGAAAAGAGGATGGCATACAAAGAGCTAATTGGCCCTTTGCTTAGTCCCCAAATTTCAACTGATTTTACAGCCTTATCTCTAGCATTTGAAGAGGACTCCACAACACTGGAAGCAACTAAATCCCAGAAGTGAAGTTGATCAAGTCGGGAGGATGCTATAATAGATGAAGCCTCGTGGCTGCAGGAACTTGCCATTGCCTCAGCAGCACCAGTGGAAAAGAATAGACGAAGAATGCCCTCTAGAATTCGATCTTTGATGAGCTCCCATCTCTCAGTCCTCCAGGGATTCGAATTCTCTGCATCTCCTTTGCTATTCTGTCCAACAAGTCCGCGAAATGCCGAAAATGTAATCAGAGCATTTCTTGCAAGTTTCATTGGAGAAGGGTTTGAAACCAGCACAGCATGCTCAAGCTTCTTTAGAATAACTTCCAAATCACTAGAGGTGGAGCTGTTTATGATAGCATCATTCACATTTTCAGCAACTTCCTCCATGGTTACAACTGCAGCTTCAGTCCACCGTCTCAGATAATATAGAACAAACTCCCAATCATCTTCAACAAATTCCTTCCAGCAATATGCGACTGCAACTAAAATTAACTTTGATAACAAAATCTGTACAACAGGCAGCTTATTAACTGCAGCTAATGAACCAGCGTTATGCCTCTGCTTCCGAAATAATTCAAGCAGAAGTGCTTTCTCCGCAGAGCTGATATATCTCTCCTGGTTCAACTCTTTCATGACACCCGTTGCACTTATGGGATAACAGGAAATAACCAACAGGAACCAATCTTCCATATCTGCAAGATAAAATCAGATTATAGCAACAAGAGCAGAACATTGAAAAAAATACGTACAAAAACATACAGGACATACAAATAGAAGAAACTGAAAGAACAACCACCAATGGCCCTTTACTGCGAGTACGAAATTAGCGAGGAAGTAGATTTAGCTACTTGATGCTCCAAACAAAGGATATACCCTAGGCCTAGAAGCTAGGGTTGGAATACTGGAAATGTAACTAAGGTCTTTATACCATCTCACATAAAGATCCATAAAGAACTTATGGGTGAACTGTTGAAGTNAAGGTCTTTATACCATCTCACATAAAGATCCATAAAGAAGTCATGGGTGAACTGTTGAAATGCCGACAAGCTCTTGGGTCAACCATATATTGTAAAATTTATATTGTATCAGTTACAAATATCTACCATTAATTGAACGCAGCTTTTGTTTACCTTTTCCTGTTTGCCATGCATTTAAATGTGGGAATGACAGAATTCTCCGGAGCCAGTCCGTAATTGTATCATGCAACTCTTTTTCCCCAAAAGAATCAGGTTGAACATCTTTACTGGATCCAATGCTCAGTGGTATAATAAGAACACCCATAATTGGGGGAAGAATCCTCAAACAATTCAAGTTCATGGCCTCACCAACAAAAAGTTTATTTAGAAGCAGTTTAAATAAGAAAGTAGCTTTGTCCTTTCCCCATACATTATCTCTAAAGAGAGAAGACAACAACAATACAAGAGCTCTCAAAAAGGGTTCTTCAATATTCTCCACTTCATCACATGAAATAGGATATAGATTGGATTCACCAATTGGCTCTTGGACAAGAGCACCGTCAAGCAAAATGGTGGCAATAGAATCTAACAAGCCGTCCTCTGGACAGTACTTTTCACTTGTTGCGTATGCCCTCAGTACAGGTACGAAAGAACTAATAGCACTCCCACCATGCCATTTCCACGTGCACAACATTTCAGCAGCAAGCCAGGCACGAGAATAATGAGATCGAGAGGTTGTCAATTCGTTAGTTGGCTCCTTATTTGAAGACGGGAGAATGTATGAAACAAACCCAGCAACAACTCTATCAAACCCAACTTTGGATATAAGCTCGTCAATTAAAGCAACAAATTTTTGATTCTTGGATTCCTTCAACACAGTAGACATTTGCAGTTAATAAGCTACACACTTTGCATCATACAATATAAAAGACTGAACATGAGATTCCGGTAAATTCAGAATACAATTGTGATAAGAAATAATACCCTTTTGCAGTGAATATGATCCTGAAATGACAAAATTACAAGAGGCAGCACTTGACAACCAGATGTTGCCAAAATGCCTAAGAGAAAATAATCCAAACCCCCAACCCCGAAACCAATAAACAAAATAAAAAAGGGGAAGAAGTCACCAAAACAGTCGAACACACATACACACTTTTGCGAAAACTAGCTCAATGTCAGTCTGTCAGAATAAACTAAGGGAAATAAAGTTAGTGAAATTTGACAGGATATGAAAGGTTGGACCTAAAACAATGGCATGTGCTCATCCGCTCCAATGATGCGTCACGGATCTTGCGTGCGGAAATCAGCCACTCCAAAATCAGGGTAAGACTGCCTACCACAGACCTCTCTTAGACCCGCTATTAACAGTAACCTTGTGCAATGGATACAATCTTCTTTTTTCAGATACGGCTTGATTAAGAGCCAATATCTTTTGAATTTCAAATCCCACTGTTCGCTTGAGCATCCACTCCACTTCAAACCTCTTAAACTACCATCTACTCTAAATGCTTAAGCTATTAGAGATGACGTACTTTTAATACTTACATACTGATTAACCCTTAAAAGTGACATGTNCTCTCTTAGACCCGCTATTAACAGTAACCTTGTGCAATGGATACAATCTTCTTTTTTCAGATACGGCTTGATTAAGAGCCAATATCTTTTGAATTTCAAATCCCACTGTTCGCTTGAGCATCCACTCCACTTCAAACCTCTTAAACTACCGTCTACTCTAAATGTTTAAGCTATTAGAGATGACGTACTTTTAATACTTACATACTGATTAACCCTTAAAAGTGACATTTCAATATACATTAAGAGGGTTTATTACGTGCAATTCATGTTTAATTGTTTATGAATTATGTGATGTTAATTGTATAGGGTAAATATGGAGGCTAACCTAAAGTACAGGGTACAAGGAGCAAGAATCAAAATATCGTTCGAAACGGTCAAAATGTTTTCATTTCCAAGAAGACCAAAATGACACAATGATGAAATCGAAATTCTGATATTTCGAGGTATTCCATAATATTTTTAAATGTATTATAATATTTCAATACATTTGCACAATTGTTTTAAAATATTTTAAGATATTTCAAGATACTTTGATATATTTTCATCAATGTTTTAGAAAAATAATTTTTAAATTGTTTATTTTTTTTATTATGCTTCCGAAACGGGTCGAAACGTTTCCNTTTCAAGATACTTTGATATATTTTCATCAATGTTTTAGAAAAATAATTCTTAAATTGTTTATTTTTTTCATTATGCTTCCGAAACGGGTCGAAACGTTTCCATTTCCTAAGTGACCGAAACAATACACAAAAACGATATTTTGATCCTTGACAATGAGCAATTTGGTGAAGTTTGGGGGGTAGCAAAGTGGAAAAGACAAAAGCTTCTAGTAGACTGTCATCGTCCCACTGCCGCCGTCCAGATGAGATTCCTGATTGAAGGCCGCAAAGTATGGAAGAAAATTTGGACCAGCTGCTAGAGACCACCGTCCGGACCCTCCTCCACCTTTCGGGCACCCGTCTCCAAATGCAAAATTTTGCCCGAAGATACGGATTCCAAAGAGTTTGCACTGTCCAAACGGCACTGCCAACGTCCAGACGCTGCTCTCCAAAGCTGCATTTCTTGCTCTTGAATCCAAGCCTTGAAATTGGTCCTTCTTGCCACCCATCTCCCTCTATAAATACCCCCTCCCATCTAGTCCTTAAGTAGAAACATGCATGGATGACTTCTTAGAAGCATTCCTCTCTCAAATACTCTCTAATTTTTGTAATGTTTACATTTCTTATCCTCAATATTTTTTTTGGAAATAATCTTCTTCACTTAGGGGGATGAACTTCTCTTACTTTTCTAACTTCTCCTGAAGCCATGATGGGTGTGTGGTATTTCATTTATTTTTTAGTGGAAAAAGAAATATAGTACTTGTTTTTTGTAATTTGTATCTTGTTCATTTGAAGGGATGAACTTCACTCACTTTTCTAACTTTCCTTGAAAGGCGAGTAGAATTACATTCACTCTTTAGCGAAGAAAGAACTTGTATTTATCTTTTATAATTGTAGTTTTCTTTACTTAGAAAGATGAGATTCTCTCACTTTTTTAGCTCACTGGTGGCCATGAAAAGTGAGTAATTTTTCATCCACTCTTTAGTGAAGGGTAATAGATTGTTATACTTTATTTGAGTAATATATTTGTACAATTTCTATTATGCTTAATTGTTTCATATAATTTTTAAATGATTGAATGTATCTAGCAAAGCTAAAGTACTTTGTATAATTGTTTGACCACCTATTGACAAGTTAATTCTTGTTATAGGTGATGCTTATGATTCCCTACAAGTACTCAAGCTAGGTCTTCGTGACAATCTTTATCTTGGCATATTCAATGTTTATAACTCTATGCATAATGTCGGAGCTAAGCTCTCTAACATAAAATCAATCATCTTCCGATTAACTTGATGTTGACACAGAGGTTAACTGAGCTATCACTGTTGCACAAATATTGCACTCAAAACACTCGTGCACATGTTCGGATCCCCAAATTAAAGAGTGATTTTTCTTTATTGTTAAGAACTTTATATTTTCTCTAGCACACACTCTTCACAACCACTCATTGTCTCTATTGATCTTTTGTTTAAAATATCCACATTAATTCCCTATGGATTCCACCTCAGACTTAACCGAGCTATTACTACAACTTGGGCGTGCATATTTTTAGTCAAGTCACATACTTCAGCAAAACCAAAACTTAATGGTCTCTTTTACGAGGTACATCCTCATACACAAAAAGAAGAAAAAAAATCTACCTACATTATATCCTTAACGCCACTGTATCCTAAGCTCTATGCTAAATATCCATTGAGTACTACCGAACTAGTAGTAGTAGTTCTTCTGCAAGCTCTAATCTCTATAATTGAAAGATAACATTCGAAACCTATTACTGAATAATGTAAAATATATTCAAGGAATATAAATATTAGCAAATCTAAAACCAAAACAAAATGGACCGTAATGTTCTCTTAATTCAGGATTCAATGCAAAGAATTCCTCACAATATTTTACTATAATAATATCTAACAACTGAAAATTTATCGTGATATATATGTTTGGTAGAATTCAGTGGCCTGATAGAGTCTAGTAAGTATACAAACACTATTAGTGGCATGCTTGGTAAATTAAAGTGATACCTATTTGTTATGCAGTGAGCTTTTCACCAAAGAGCCCTTTTGACAAGCAAAAAGTTTATAAATTGTGCAGGAATTATGTCATAGCATAGAAGAGGCCTGAATGAAGCCTATCCTGAACATTCATAAATTATAAGTTGATCCGCAGGCGATGACCAAAACGTCAAATGGGCAATGGCTATCTCGTAGTGATAACAATATTACATGCAAGTCATAATTTACAAAATAAAAATGATATTTTGGTGCTTACCATACACAGTAAAATTATTTTCAAAAATGGATTTTAANTGATGACCAAAACTTCAAATGGGCAATGGCTATCTCGTAGTGATAACAATATTACATGCAAGTCATAATTTACAAAATAAGAATGATATTTTGGTGCTTACCATACACAGTAAAATTATTTTCAAAAATGGATTTTAACTTTTCAGTACTAAACTGCAAGTCCATCATAATTGACAGAGGATGAGTGATGATCCTCGCAGGCTTGCAGCCCCATCTACAGTGTATCCAACAAATAAAAAAATCAATTCGCAAATACCGTTCATTCAAAGGCTTCTTATAAGCACAAAGCTGGAAAATCATGATGATAGTAAGGGTAAATATATATGGTGTCAACCTATCAAAAATACATGCGCATNAGATGAGTGATGATCCTCGCAGGCTTGCAGCCCCATCTACAGTGTATCCAACACATAAAAAAATCAATTCGCAAATACCGTTCATTCAAAGGCTTCTTATAAGCACAAAGCTGGAAAATCATGATGATAGTAAGGGTAAATATATATGGTGTCAACCTATCAAAAATACATGCGCATAATAAATTAAAAACACCATAGTGTAAAAGAAGTTAAAGTGGGGGTGCATTGAAGTAAACAGGGAACAAAAATAAGTCATCAAGACTACAAATAATAATCGAACAAAAAGCATACAAGAGATCATTGTAAACATATTTTTAACTAAAAATTAATTCTCAACCAAAAAAAAAACTAAAAATTAATTAGCAATACAAACCGAACCAAATGATGTCAGCAAAAGTTATTATAAACAAAACCCACTCACCTTAAGAGAGAGATTTTCAGTTTTTAAGGTAGCTGATCTTTTTCCATTACTGACATCGGGTATAATCCACAAAGGCCACAAATCACTCTTGTTCAGAAACTGGTCTAACAAAATTTGTTCTTCAAATTGGTCTTGACAAAGACATTCAAGAACTTCAAGCATCCAAGAACAGCACAAAGATATCATTTTATCTATGTCTACTTTTTCTTCCTTGAATATGGCAGACTTGATAGACTGAATCAAAACATTTCCCAATCTATGCCTAATATCTGTGCTGAGGCTCTTAAAGAATTGATTACCTATCTTGCATCGAAAAGTATGAACAGATTCACAACAACCCAGCCTGGCCTTGGTTTTTTCTGAAGATTCACCATCAAGCTCATCATTGGAAACTGATGCCATGCTACATTCCCAGTCAATCACCCAAATTGTGGCTAAAAGACCTGGAACCAACCCAATTTCGTTGCCAAAAGACTTGATGCAAAAGAAGCTACCACTAAGTACTTCCAGCGCAAAATGGGCCATTCCGAGCACGTTGATAGAAGATTCATATTGCAGCTTAGAATCAATTCCTTCAGCAATTAATAAAGAACCAGCACTCCTGACCCAAGAGAAAGTAGAATCCATCACGAATGTGAGCAACTTTCTGAACACCTCTTCAAATATCAGGATTGATGTACTTCTTGTCACAAAAGAAGTTTGATCACCCTCCATTGCGCCACCAAGAACAAGACTGCAACATCGGCAAGAATAAGATAATGCAAAAAGGATATACGTTACACAGTATGCAGAAAGCAGAATATTAGTAGGCAACTAAGCTATTTGTCCATTACTCCTACTTTTCTTCCTCGTCTGGAAAATAAAGTTGTTCCCCATCACAAGGGCAACTTTAGAAAAGAGACAAGTCACAAGAGTTACATATGGACCATATTATAGCAAGACCCAAAATTCACAAAAAAAAGTAGGGAAAATCTAAAGTAATCAACAACGAAATTCCCACTGTATGAAAAAATCCTCACCCCCAGAAAAAACATAAAACAAACACAAAGAAAGTTGGTACAAGNTATTATAGCAAGACCCAAAATTCACATAAAAAATTAGGGAAAATCTAAAGTAATCAACAACGAAATTCCCACTGTATCAAAAAATCCTCACCCCCAGAAAAAACATAAAACAAACACAAAGAAAGTTGGTACAAGAAATTAAAATTTCTGAATGAGAAAATTTACAAAAAAAATATTATTCAACTAAGGGAAAAATGGCCATAAACAAACATGTATGAAGAGTTGGCATACAACATATAAGAACACATGAGAAGAATGCTCCTCCACTAGGCCTGGTACCAAATAGTACCAGTGGCAGTAAAAACAGGTTCTCTTTTAACTATCCTGGTAGTAACAATCAAGAGCTCTTTAAGAAGAAGAGTGCAGTGTTATTTAAGGTTCAAAGCAAACCAAAGTACTAAGGGCGTCCTAGAGCCTAGGTAAGAGGCGCGAAATGAGGCAAAGGCTTTATCAAAGTGAAATCAAATATTGTAAATAATAAGCAAATATTTTATCATTGACAAATCTTGCAAGCAAGGCATAAAAATTGTCACAACTAAGCATCCAAAAATTCCGAAGTGTACAAGTTCCAACTTTGGAAATATTAAAATTCAAATTGAAAAGCATTAACATCCAAATTCTAACAGCCACCTATAATATATTAAGTCCTTACATTTGAAAATGTACAAGTCGAACTCTCAAAGCAACAAAACATTCACTTCACACCTCCACCTATCCTAAGGATCTGAAAATAATCCTCATCACCAAGCCAATCATCTTCTTCACCATTATTGGATTTATATTCCTCCATCTCTTCCTCCTCTATATCATTTGACCTTGTATCTTACTCAACTACAAGTGGAAAAGCAGTTGATCATCTTGAAACCATTGGTGCTGCCCTAGAAAATTGATGTTGATCAAATTTGCTAGCTTCTTTCTCCAAGTTAAAGTTTAGATATTTATGCCTTTCCAAAATATCGAAAAAAGCAAGTGCCTGTGCTCCTTAAGCTTAATCCGTGTGGTATGCGTCTCGTACGTCTCAATCGCGTCTAGGTGAAGCCACCTCGCAAAGCCTTGTTGAGGCGCACCACTTGCGCATGCAATCACAAACGTGTCTTTTACAACCCTTTGTTAAGTTCTTCACCTTGAATAAGATTTTTCACATTCAATTTACCCCCCAAAAAAAAGTGTGAACCTCAACTCTTGCACCACCCAAGAAAGAGAGATCAATTTTCAAATTGATTAACAGACCATTATGCAAAGTAATCACACATATAAACATGCATAGCCTTATCTTAAAAGTAAAAAAGCTTGGCCTAGTACATGATGCTCCCGAGAGGGTCAAATGTATGCCACCTTGCAATTGAAACTTGAAAATTTGAATATTAGAGTTTAGGGGGGATAAAAAAAAAAGGAAGCAACAGCATGAAGGAGATTATGGAACTATATTGGGTTTAGGACAATGTTACACGGATTGTGGATCGATTTGGTACATGGTACAATACTTCTTCCAATACACGGTACAATGGGGATAGGCTTAATTTGTACACAATTTTTGGTTATGGTTAGTTTTGTAACTTCTATATAGAATAATATATCCATATACATGGTTAATAAATATTTATTTTATATTTCTAATAAATGTTATCAAAATATGAATTCAAAAGGCATCAAAACAAAAAATAACAAGTATTAGATTGATGTTGTAGACTAATGCAATATTAGGAAAATAGAACGTAATAAGATGGCAACATAACAGAAAAGTAGGACAATAGGAAAGTAACAATCTATCATTCCTCCTCAAGTTGAATCATATAGATAAAAAATGGTTAGCATGGAACAAAGGCTACTAAAGGTGGATCCAGCCAATGATTTGATAAGAAACATCATTGGATTGATTACCAAATTTTATAAACAGGACTGCAAATAGCTCCACCTAAATAATAAGCATACTAAAATCAAGATCTAGGTGATTGCTTAAGACAGTACAGTGAATTATTGAATCGACACTCACCATCAAGATACTCCTTCTGAGCAACAAACGCAGGTGTGAAGTCTAAGACATGAGCTGAATGACAATCATACTAGCACAAAAGCGCACAACTAAAAATACAACGATGAGCCATTGGAAATTTGATAAATTCAACTGCAACAGTTGAAAATAGGGTAAACCAAGAAGAGCTGAAGTTGAATCAACGCAAAGGGGTTGAATTGGTTCTGAAACCAACAAACTAGTACTGAACCGAGATAAGAATCAACAAACCAACAATAAATTGGATTGCAAACCAATTATCTGAACATCGAACTACAAACACTAAACCGACACTGAATCGAGAAGAAAAATAGGAAATAAACACCAACTGGTCCAAAAACCACTGAGCCGACAATAAACTAAGTTGAAAATAATGAATTGAGATGAAGACCACTAGACCAACGCCAAATTGAGCTTGAAAACACTGAAATAACACTAAACCAAGCCAAAAACAATGATAACAACACTTGGCGAACATAGAAACAACTATAACTAGATGTATTTAGGACTGACCAACCCCTAGACAAGTGTGCCTCACCTAGGACCCTACTCACCCAAATATCTTGTTCTAGTACCAAGTTAGAAATTGAATAATTAAATATTAAGGTTTAGGAAAATAAAGAGAAGAAGAAGTACAGAGAAGAAAGAGATTATAAAATCATATTCTGTGTAGGGTGTGTTACCAACACTCGATCATCTATTTATATTAGAATGATATTGCAGACTATTACAATATTAGAAAAATAAAAAGTAATAGGAAAGCAATATAAAAGGAAAGTAACATTACAGAAAACAAAATAAAAGGAAAGTAATACTCTAATACTATGAAGCACGAACACTCTCGAGAAGGTGACGTATCCGTGTTGGACACCGATACTCTTTGGATACTCTCGGACACGTGTTTGATACTCTTTTTTCCGTGTCCATAATTAAATTATAAATTTTTAATTTCGAATACGTATCGGACACTTTTTTTGTGAAATGTCTGACATTTCTTTAGAACGTGTCTACTACTAAACAATAGACATGTATTGAAATGTGATTAACAAAACTTAAAAATTTTAGAACATATAATTATTAATACTAGACATGTTAAAATCGTACTCCAAATATAATAATAAAAATAAAAGTTGCATAAAAATTTTAAAAAATATGAATTGAGAAAATGAAAGCAATTATTTAAATTATATATTAGGTACACATTATCTACAAAAAAAATTGATGATTACTGACTATTACGAGGATGTTTTAGTATAAAAATTCACAAATATGACTAGACATTAAATTTACTTATCATAAAATATTTAATCTTTTATGAATTGTATATCATTATCACTATATTTGTAATAAATTATATAANATAAAAATTCACAAATATGACTAGACATTAAATTTACTTATCATAAAACATTTAATCTTTTATGAATTGTATATCATTATCACTATATTTGTAATAAATTATATAATGCTATATATAAAATATAATTTTTTTATAGCGTGTCCTCAACGTGTCTATGTCTTACTTTTTTGAGAAATGTCGCGTCGACGTGTCCGTGTCATGTCCATGCTTCTTAGCTCTAATAGTTACCCCAACATGTAGAGAGGTTATTTACATATAACCTTGTCTTAAAAGTATCAAAAAAAATATGTTCTCGATCATACAATAAATTTTGAACAATTTCTAAAGACCTATGAAAAGAAACATTTCAACTGCAACGTTTATTAATTGCTTCAAACCCATGAAGAAAGAAAGGACCTATATTATTCCAAGCTAATTTTATATGACTAATTTCAAAGTATAATTCTAGTTCAAAATTCAACACCTTAAGTTTTCTCGTAGCTAGAATAATGGTTTCTTTCAATCAAGCAAACCAAATGGATTTGTTTTTTTTATTTTATTTTTTTTTGGATTTATGTTTTTTTTGGTGGGTTGTTGGGTAGTTTTTTTTTGTTGGAGAGGCGGGGGGGGGGGGGGGGGGAG